ATGACAGCAAAATTCTTATAGATTTTCATATAGAATTAGCAGACCCCACAAAGGTAGTTCTATTGTGTGACAGAAAGTGACAGGGTTACAATTCTCATGAAGCAAGTATTGGTATAGTAAACTTCTTAATTCACCGAATTAACGCAAATAAACTGAATTAAAATTATGAAATGGTTGGTAACGATAGTCACTGTGTGCGACCTATCTTAACAAATAACAGATTTTTCTTAAAATCTTGATAAAGATTACGTTCGTTTAATTACGTACGTAATCTAGTTTGTGAAAGGTATAAAAAATCATTTAGATGAATAGAATGGGTACAATCGTTACATGCAGAGACATATATACTAGTATTATTATTACAATTAAATTGTAAGCGCTAATTATATGTCTCTAAACTACGTTTGTTTATTATAAGTGTTTTCTATAAGATATTTAATATTTTTTTCTAAAAATTTATAATACCATAAAACAGTTATTACACAAGATTTTTTCTATTAATTCATATACTATATTTAGGTAAAGGAAAATATGTTCGTGATTTTTCACTTCGCATTCTGCAATTTTTATAAAAATAAATATATGACAACATATATATCTACAACTGCGTCAGTTAATATTATTATCTTTTAGTTTTAAAATAATACATTGTAATTCATACTTTTATTAAAATACCAATGATATCATTATTTTACACATTTAAAATTTTTAATTAACTTATTATCTATTAAATTATCATTTAAATGAATAAAATAATATTAAATAATGACTTCTTTTAAATCTTAAACAATTTTCAGAGAGTTCTTATAATGCGATGAAATAACCTAAATCATCTGATTCTATTCGAAAAATTATATTTCAGAGGCTCTCAGTGAAGTGAGTGTATTCGAGATTTTTTTTTTTTAAAGCTAAAACTGTACTTATTCTAATGAAATATATTAACATATTCATTATTGATAGAACTATCGAGAAAAACATGTTTAATTCAAAAACGAAATCTAAAATTTGTAGAAATGTTGATATCTATAAAGTTTCTGTTTGTCTGGCAGTTAAAATATTACTTTCAGTTAGCGTGAGTAATGATGGAAGACCACGTTCCTATTAATAAGATTTTATAGGCATATCTGGTGAAGTAGTAGTTACTTTTAACAATTGAAATATGTGTGTTTTAGTATATATGATTATTCGTATACAGAATAGAAAAACAGAACAGTATGAGAAGATGAAAAAACGAAACACTTTACTCAGATTCCTTACAAAATACTGGAGACAATTTCTAAAACTTGTAACGCTGCATTTATGATATTTTTTCATGTACTTACGTTACGGTACTTGTTACAATAATATGACAGAGGTAACTCATCCCAATATCATTATTATTACTTAGTATTTTGTCTATTTTTTTGTCTAAGAACTGAAACTACTTAGTAATATTATTATATGTATAGATTATAGTGGCTAATGACGCATTTCCTCTCTTAATAGCAATGTTGAATGATGTTAATAATTTGAGTGAAAAATTGCGATAACACGATAAAAACCTTGGTTTTAAGTTTTAGTTTTAAGAAATAACAGACATATTAAGTAAGAAGCTATAAGAATACTTTTCATTATAATATGGTTTGTAGTATACTTTCGTACGTTCCGTACAAAGATAAAATAGAGTTACATATAGACTTGATATAGTCACGTTTTATTAAATATAAAGATATTTAACTTACAAATAATAACTAACAAAAATTACGGTAAGAGAATAACTATTATTTCAAATCCTACATCTTATTTTTTTTAGAATTTTATTGAATTTAATGTGTTATTTATAAGCGCACAATCCACAACTAAATCCAAGATTAAAAGGTGAAATTCCTAGCAACTGTAGGCGATATTCTATGAAGAGATGTGTGAGTGTGTCGGAGTAGAGGAGTGTTAAATATTTTGGTTGAATATATTACATGAAGCACTGAAGTGTTCTGCTCTGGAGACTTGCACCGAGCACTCTCGTTTGTTTAGATTATGTAAGAACATATACGATGAACATTGAAGAGGTTTGGACTAAAGAAATATAAAAGACTATCTTTGAAATGTAATATTAACTTATTGAATGGATAATAAAATGACTTGGATACCGTTTAAGTTTATATTAATAATATAATGAATTATACTATAAGCTGTCAATAAGGAAGCCCAAATATTAACAAGGTGTTTTTCAGTTTTTTAAACTGATTCAATGATTTTATTATATAAGTTCGTTTATCATGTTGTCATGAAACTCAACTGTTGATCATTAACAAAAATAGAGGGTAATAAAGAAGGGACTACTAATCTCACGTTATAACTGTATTACTTCGTTAATCCCTACTAATATTATAAATGCGAAAGTAACTCTGTCTGTCTGTCTGTCTGTCTGTCTGCTACGCTTTCACGCCTAAACCACTGAACTGATTTTAATGAAATTCGGTACAGAGATAGAGTTGACCTTGAGAAAGAACATAGGATAGTTTTTATCCCAGACTTTTGAAAGGTTCTCTTGGAAACGCGATATAACCGAACTCCACGCGGCGAAGCTGCGGGCGGAAAGCTAGTCTGGAATAAAGATGAAACAATTGAAATGTATAGAAAATTTGTGTTTGGAGTTTTATCTCAAATTAAATATATATTTGTGTTATTGAGGTACTTCACCTCCTCTTCTTCTCGTATAAAAGGAATGTAATGATATTTGAGTGAAGTATTTGTAACTACTTCTCACTTTACGAGTACAACGGGAATGTAGTAAGAGTTACAAGAAATGGTTTTATTCTTAACACATATACATACTTATATGGAGCTTATATTTTAAGTATAAGAAGTAGTACATTTGCTAATCAAACCACACAAATGTGTTTTTTTTCACGTTGATTATTTGCTAAGTGTATCTCATTAAGCAAACCGTTGACTCAAATGGTTAGTAAGTAATTTGTAACAATAATTTTCTTTATATGTTGATAAATAAATTTTACAGACTTCAATACAAGCAGAGTGGCGCAGTGGAAGCGTGCTGGGCCCATAACCCAGAGGTCCGTGGATCGAAACCACGCTCTGCTAATAATATTATGTAACATAATTCTTCTGGTACTCGTAGTATTGGTTTCGGTATTATAATGAGTGTTCTATTTTAACAAACAAGTTCAGTGGTATATTCATTTTAAATAGAAAATTATTTTTTAATATGACAGCATATCATTAAGTTGTATTTAAAGTTTTAATATACTTATTATTTTATTCCATTTTTTTTTCTTTGAGCTGCAACAAAACGGAAATATATTTCTATGAAAATAAATAATTCTCCAAGCAACTGGAATTATTTATCCCTACTAATATTATAAATGCGAAAGTAACTCTGTCTGTCTGTCTGTCTGCTACGCTTTCACGCCTAAACCACTGAACTGATTTTAATGAAATTCGGTACAGAGATAGAGTTGACCTTGAGAAAGAACATAGGATAGTTTTTATCCCAGACTTTTGAAAGGTTCTCTTGGAAACGCGATATAACCGAACTCCACGCGGCGAAGCTGCGGGCGGAAAGCTAGTGAACTATAAAAGCACTTCAAAGGTACAAATTCTCGTTTTCCCCAAAACATGAGTCGGAGTTAAGGTATCTTATTTTTTTTTAAATAAGATAAAGAGCTATAATCGTTACTAAGCAGTAAGTATTGGTTTATGTAATTCATTTTTTCCACAATGTTATCAACGCTTCTTTGAAAATAATGAACCTGAAAATCTTATAACTATTCAACTGTTTACTTTCTTACATATGATTATTATTACTATTATATCTGAGAACTGGAAGCAGGCAGCAATATACGTTTTACTTACACATTTAGTGCATTTCTACAATATGGATATTATATTCAAATATTTGGTAAGTATACTTCGAATAATGTTTTGACCCCAATTCAAATCCAATAAGATAACTTTAATTTCAAGATTCAACAATGAAAAACATACTTAACCTATTGAGCTAAAAGTAAAGAAGTTCAGTTTGTATAGAAATACATACATGATTAGGTTAGTGACGGTATATTAATTCCAATAACACATCCAACATAGCGGAGTGGTTATTTTAATGCAATAATATAATAATAAAATATTTTAATTTATTATTGTTTAATATTTCTGAAATACTCTTGATGATTGAAAATGAAAGACGTGGCAAGAGAAAGAGATAAATTCTTTTTATCTATCTTCTTCTTCTACCTGCCAATTTCCCAGCTATAGCCAGGGTCTGCCTTACGTGTTGTGAATAGTTTTTGGCTATTTGTTTTTACGACCGGCCGCCTGCCTGACATCAACCCTCTTTTGGGAATCAACATTAATCAGTGACGTCTACATACTCTTAGAAAGTACATATGATTCGGAAAAATCACATTGGTACTTGCCCGGGCCAGGATCGAACCCGCGCCCTCGGCGACGAGAGGCCGAGAGGCGGGCCCTTTAACCACTGAGCCACCACTAACTTCAAATTCTTTTTATCTATATGTAACGATAATATATTATTTTTAATTTAAATCTGATCATTGATATTTTAGTTTTGTTCTTGGTCATCTATATTTATTTATTACTTCTGCTTATTTTGTCTGCTTGCAGAATCGTGTAGTTCTTTAATCTACAACTCATAGCACTGACTTTAAAATATTTGTCCTGATACTTGTTTATATTTTTATAAATCGAGATCCCAATCACTTGATATTTTATCACAAAGACTTCTTTTTTTCTTTGTTATAAATTACGAATCTTTATTCACCGCATAAAAATTTATATTTAGATTCATTTGTACTTTTTTGTTTCAACTTTATTACGTTTCACTAACTTTCATTTCAAAATAAAGAAAACAAAAGTCCCGACTACATACAATTAAGATTTTATAACGCTTATTCTTTATTATTCGTATTTACTTTGCTCTGTAAGCTATACGTTTAAAACTTATATCAGAATTAGCTTATAAAATACGATTCAGATATCTTTCATTTATACAGCGTGGCTGCTTCAACAGCAAGTGTCTTACATTCTAGTGCACCTTTAGCTTTGGGATAGCCCTTTCCACTGCTGAATAGAACTATCCCTTTCCTCTCTCTTATCTTTAAAGACCGAAGTCGTTTAGGGTTCATTATTTCCCAACTACTGTATACATAGTTGCCTTCACAAGGCGCCTTAAAGACGCACGAACACAGACCAGCCCTCCTGGCCAAGATGAGGACTCTTTCCCGTCTTGACGTTTTGCCGTCTAAGGACGACATTTTGTTCCATCTCCCAAATCTAACCACCCTTCAAAGATATCCTAGCTGAGGTTTTGCATCTTAGGAGAAACCTGGGAACAGGCATAGGCAAAGACAGGCCTATGAATTAGATGGGTAATTTTGCCCTATTTTAACTTATCACTACACTGAAAGAGAAGATCTAAAAAGAAGCAATAACTTCTACCTTCCGTATTATAATTATCTTGTTTTGGATTCATATATCATGATAAAACATTATTTTTTTAACGGATTTTGGCTAAAACGATATCATTAATGTTTAATAGACGCCTTCGCACTCGGAAAAATGTAAGTAGACTTACATGTAAATAAACTTGAATAATACATCAGAATACATAAAATGTATGACTAACTGTTTCAATTTATATGATTTATAAAATGAAGATAACGACTAAAATAAATTGACCAATTAACTCTCAGCTTTATGTCAGTATTAAAGCCTTATTACTGTTTATTGTGATAGAATAAGCGTTAAATAGATTTATTCTAATATATAAGTGTGTGATAATAATTTAAAGTCCAAATTACGTTGTGTCTCCATAATTAAAACATTTAAAGTGAACTGTTGATGAACGTTACAAAGCATAAAAACTGAGTTATTAATAGATCCTTTATAACATTTATCATACGTTTGAATCGTGACAAATACGAAACCTTTCGAGTTTTTTATTCACACATCTTTCCTCATGGTGAGTTAAAATTAAAGTTAGGAATCAAAAACGGATCAAACTCCGTATTTAGTATTACGAGCCAAACTTATAGTTAAGGTGCATGGCAATGAGGTTTATTAAGTTGATTATATATTAACAAGATTACCTTCATTTCTTAGATTAAAACTTAAATTTTCACTGAATATTTAAAATATATTGTCAGACTTAGGTAGTCCCATAGTATCTTGGAATATATATAATTGCGTATTTTAACATATTATTCATTAAAAAACGGCTTTATATTTTAATTTTAACTGATGAATATTTTATTCATTATATTTATATAGTAATACCAATAATATCTTAGGATATAAGTGAAGCCTCTCATAGTACCGTTTTCAATCCATCATATATATTATTACATGTCCAATACAATATAATCAGGAACACGAGATTAACAGTAATTGAAATTCATCTCATTGCTTTACAACACTAGATTACACACAGAGTGTTATTGATTTGAAACAACGTGAACTGTCGATAATGTATTACTTTCACTTCAATTAATATAACGCGTAGATTTAGAGGTGATGTTAATTATTGTATAATATTTCTTATGGATTCCTCGCTTCAGACGACTATATAGAAACTAATAATCTTTAAAATGAATTAGCTAATTATAATAATAAAAGATCTGAGTATCTGCGGCCCTAACAAGACCTCAGCGTCAGTCAAGTGGACACACAACCTTATCAATATAAAAATTGGAAAGGAATATAAAGTTTCAAGGGTGATTCTGACGTCCCTTATAATACTTAACCCACCTTTAATAGGTTTATAAAAAATACTTTAAATTCTAACAAGCATAATTTTAGAAATAATATTTGACAAAAGTTAACTGAAACGGTCTCGAGATGAATATTTGAAGTAAATAAAAAAGTCATACAAATGTCAATGACTTTAATGATTAAAATAAACATATTATATGTATATACAATTGGAAAGCAAGAAATATTGTTTTGATTTAAATACCCAATACTTTATGATATCTTTTCCTATCCTATATCCTTGAGTGGTATTATTTTTTTGTGTCCGATCTATATTTCACCCTAACCTTCGATGACGATACCCTGATCGATTGGATTTTATTATATAATATCCAAAAAGTTCTAGTAACACTTTTACTATTAAATCCACAAACTGTGGAACAACCTACGACAAAGTCTAAATTTCTAACTTTTTAGCTATTTTTGGGCATCCTTTGTATGATAACTACTTATATATTCGTTTATATATAAAAATGTGAGGGTAACTATAAACATATTCGTTGTGTATGTATATATAATGTTTATGCAAGCTTATTATTATTCCCACGTCATACATTTATCTCAAGACCTTTGTGTTGCACTTTCCCCATACTATATTGAAATTTTCCTCTCACTTGAGGTCGTCTGTAGGAGATTGCTTGTAGCAATAAGACCGTCTTTGCATTTATATTGCTTTTTTCTATTTTGTTTGTTTATATTGTAAGCCATAAAGTGCATAAAAAATTATGGATATCTTTTTAAACTCTTAGTCTCTCCAATCAACTTATCTACATATGAAACACATCTGTAAACAATTTCCTACATCGGATTCGAAATTCATTGTTTTGTTATTATTACCCATATATTAAAATAACATATTTTCATCACTGACTAAGCCTAAAAATACATTTTTTTGTCTATAAAGTTCTAACTTGTTGTCGGTATCAATCCTTGAAAAATTTGTATTACTGTTAGACGTACCCAATGTAAATAAATAAGCATTATATATCACGCGAAAAGGTTAATGTGTCCCTTCTTACAATTTAAAAACTTGATTCATATTTTTATTGTTCAGGTCACACTAATCATAATAAGTGTGACAGAGTTATAGCGAGAGTTTGTCTCTGAATCAAAAATAATTCGTAAATATATTCTTATAAATTAGACATTTTAGAAGTGAAAGAAAAATGCGCTGAAACCAGTTTACTTGATATCATTGATCTCTGGTCGTCAATATTATTTTAAAACACTGGAACTCTTCTATCTAGTTTATCACTCTATACAGTAGACATTGCATTTAATATAATTTTATAATAGTTGATTAATATATTTTCTTAATAAAGATTATAGTCATTGAATTTAATGTTTTTAAGTATTGTTTATTAATTTTTTAACTTAGCTTCTATTTAAAATCAGATTTTTTTTTAGTTTGGTTCTTTGGTTATTATTCTTATTAATAATTTCAATGATTAGTACTGTGAGTTATGATAACACCAATGTGAGTATCGAAAATAATTGCAACTACAAGCTAATTCATGTATTGAAGTATTGTTGTTTTAATAACAATCATTTGCAGTCAATTATTTATTTTTAAATTACTTTCTTGAAAGCAGAATGTTCTGTAAGAACAACAAACATCTAAATATTAATGAAATTAATTTGGAGTCTCTTATGGAGTTTATATTATAAAGTTAGTATTGAGTCGGTTTTAAGATAAATTACATTTCTAAAGTAATTAAGAATGTTATTAGACTAATTTTATTAATTTATTAGTTTATATATGAAGCTTTCTTGTTAAATTACTAACATTCTTAATGGTTGTATTGTTGATATGATAAAATGTGTTTTTATGATTTATCCTGTAATATTAAGATCAGTTTTATATTTCTATATATTTTTAAATAATTACGGTCGTGACATCGCTTAAGGCTTTATCCCATTCTTCTATGGTTCTGTAAGTGTTGCTTTTGTTAAACATAATAATACTTTCAAAGCCATTTAAATACTAAAGTTCTCTTGCTCGTCCACAGGATATAATATCCAGAGATAGATCCGTCAATATCATGACAAGTGAAACATTTTATTCACCATGTTCAGTATTTTTATAAAACGTAATGCTGAGAGATACAATATGGAACAGACACTTGATAAAATAAAAGAAAAAATGTACACAAACATAATTTAGAATTTACACCAGGTAATAAGAAAGACAAACTCTTCTACCTAATTTATTGAATTGTGTTTGGAAAAATTATATACTGGACGAAATGTTAAGACTTGCAGGTCATATTGGGTGTCATGATCTATCTTATCATTCCTATTATTTTATTTCAGGAAGCTTGCGTGTGACAATTTGAAGAAAACGCGTATGATTTATTCGATGACCCAGTTTTAATCATAATTGTATGTACAATGTTATACTATACCTACATACATTTTATGTACAATCTTTCGTCTAACGCATTCTTAAATGAGATCATATAATGATAACAACATTTCAATATAACATAGTTTTCAAATTATTCTTTTATCTTTTATAATTGCCGGGAAAACCCTAAAAACAACCCTTTTCTTTTTCACATACAAACGTTTTCTAACTAAAACGCAGAATCAATTTGAGCTTTATTGCTATACTATAAAGTTGATATTCAATTCCAAGCACTCACTGTCATCTAAGAAATGCAGGTGTATTCCTAACGTCATAAAGTAAATTTGCACTTTCTTACCGTTACACAAAGTTTAAATTCAATCATAGCTATCAAAACAGTGTGAGTGTGTGCGTTGGAGCAGAGAATACGTCGTCGGAGGATTTCAATCAAACAAAAAATATCGTTTTTCACAAAGTTCAACAATGAAAATAGAACCGATTTTTTTGTTAATAATTATGATTTACATTGTACATGATTAAAATAACTTACTTTTATATGCTCGACACATAAGCTGAGCTTGGCGTTTGTGTGACTATATTAGTCTATGATAAACTATTGTCTCTGTCTTTAAAGTTCAGTTATTCTTTCAAATTGCTTGCAAACAGTAAATTTGTTTTTTTTTTTTGAGTGGCTTTGTACGAGTACATATTCAGTTTTACTATTCGTGGCCGGAGTTATAATAAAAATATCTACATAATTCATTTACCATTTCTTAGTGTAATTTTCGTATTGGATTTTCATACAGGATAATATTTTATACTGTGCGTTTTTTTCCTGAAGTGTTTGTTCAACAAGGTAAGTCAAATTATTATAGTGTTGGAAAGTTTTGATAGACCATTTTGCTACTATCATAAAAGAATAGGAAGAATAGAATAATAGTATTTTTTATTTTCAGTTGAATTTTTGGTTCAAAACATGCCGGCAATTAGACGTACAAACTTAAATCGCAGAACCCGTATTGCCTCAAGTCAAAGAAATATAAGAGCAAGTCTAACTGATGAGCAACGTGAAAGGCGGAGTGAAGTTGAACGGAATCGATGGAACCGAAACCAACAATATAGAAGTGTTGCTTTTAACCCCTATTGAGCTGCATTTGA